ATACTCTTTTTTTGGTATTCGCATAGTGAAATGCAAAGACCTGCTGGCACAACAAAGTTTACTGGATTTTCCCAACTCAATTTGCTATCAAAAATTATTCCCAGGTACTTACAAGACACAAGTCTTGAAATATTTTTATTGACAAGACACGACTCTTGAAATATTTGTATTGTCTAAACGGTTTTGAGTTTCACAATATTTGTGGCCCCTACCATATGTGATGGTTTTGCTATTCGAGTTATACTATTATCGTGGGGTTTTTTTCCTCCCTGAAATGTAATCTATCCAGATCACCCTGCAAAATATCCTTGACTACTTTTGATTAAATAACTCAATATATTATACAGTCATCTGCAAATAGTCTTACCTTTGAAAATAAATTGTCTGGCTGGCCATTCACAAACATGAGAAACTGGAGAGGTCCAATAACGCTTCCTTGAGGAATCCCTGAAGTTACCTGTGGCAGAGTTCAAAATTGTTGTCCAACTCGGACTTTCTGTTTCCTATCTTGAAGAAGCTCATCAATCCACGCCACAACTCTGGTGTCAATACCCCAATGCATTAATTTATGAACTAGTTTATTGTGTGGGACAACATCTAATGCCTTCGCAAAATCTATTATTTCGGCATCCTCCCTCCCACTATCATCTTCATCTGCTATATCCTGAAACAATGATACTATCTGACTCTCACAAGAGAAACCATTCCTAAAACCATGCTGTGTCTGAAATAGCCATTCTTGATCTAATTTAGCTTGTTCCCATGGTCTAATAGAGCTTGTTATCAAATTTCCATTAGCTTACGTGCAACTGAAGTAAGACTTCCCGGTTTATAATTGGCTAAAACAGTTCTGTCACCAATCTTCAAAATCGGAACAACAGTACTAGCTTCTAATCTTTGGGCACGCTTGAATTGTTGATCGAAACATGAAATCTTGTTAGATATGGTAAAATTGTCTCTCCATTGAGCTTCATCATGTCCGTTGAAATGGCATCTGGACCCCCCAACTTTCCATTTTTCATAGATTTAATTCGCTTTTGCTATCCGGGGATTTATGTCTGTATTAAACTGATTTGGTACAGCCTCTCTCAATATTTGAGTATGGTGAGATTTTGTTTTAAAAACGGAACTGAAGTAGGCATTAAATGCATTTGCTTTTTCCCGATGTATTTGTAACCCATTCTTGGTATCTCTAACGATAGGAATTTCTTCTTTATTTCCTCTTCTTCTGCAAACACATATGTAAAACCCTGACCAAATATTTCCCTCACTGTCGAGAACAGGCTTTAAAAAATTTTTCCTGCCCAACTTTCTTTTCCAGCTTTAATTCTTTTGAACAGTTACTAAAATGTATCTTATGATTTTCTCTTCCATGTCTATTATTGAAGCTTTTCTGGTTTTTCTCTTCATACTTCGAATTTTCGGATTATAATATTCTGAATCTGAATTTCTTTTTTAGTGTTTGTGCAGCACAAACATTTGCAATGCATTATCTAGATTGCTATTAAACGCTGTTCAAATTTCCTCCGTACCCCCATCTATTCTCAGAAAACGATCGTACTGTTCTCTCAGATAGTGGTGAAGCCCCCCTGTGTTTGCCTTCTTGAACTGCCATATTTTTTCTGTAAAATATTTACAGAAAAGTCTAACTAAGTCGACTAACACGGCGTTGTGGTCGCTTATACCGTCAATGATTTCGCAAGACTAGAAAAGCTCCTGCGGCCTAATTAAGTAAACTTGAAGCGCCTTCTGCCGCGTCGGTCTATCTACTACCTGCACTAATCCCCCTTCCCTGACAAGTCTGTTCACTAACTGTTGTACTTTTGCTTCGCTCACAGAGCTTTTCCAATTTGCGTGTGGAATATTTAAATCAACAGCGATAACTATGGGATGTATATTGGCGTTTTCTATTTTCTCAGAATTTTTTTTTTTCAAAATCGCGTAATTTTAATGTGGTAGCCTATAGCAAGTAATAATTTGTAACACATTCCCTATATTACTAATTTCTATCCCATAATGAATCATGTTCTAGGATTCACGGAAAGATCCTGCTAGAAATAGAGCCAATCGATTCGTCTTGGCGAGAGCAATCGAATGTGATTACGTCTACAGACGGTTTCATCCCCCCACCCCCTGGAAATGCATTTTAGGCGCTCACCCTTCTCGCCATCACGATTTTTCGTTATTTTACTAAGACTAATAATTATCCATCTGATTAATCAAGTAACGATTCGCGTAAATGCTGGGAAGAGAGTATAGAAATTCACAGCTTTTTATCAGCGGTGGATTGAAACCATAAAAACCCTTGTGAAGATTAATGTCTTAGAATCCTAGATGGATCTGCAAAAAAATAGTCAGTTTTCCACCAAGAGACCGAGGCTTGTCGAGACACATTTGTCTCTTAGTGGACTGGCGGGGTCTATTTATGAGCGAAGGCCGGACGAGTGATATGACAAAATATCAAATAGATGAGGGAGTTATGATTATTATTCGGAAATAGTATTTCATACATTTTGTTATTTATTTATATATATATATATATATATATATATATATATATATATATATATATATATAATTATGGTACACTAGCATGCATTAAGGTAAGGTTGCCAGCAGTATTTGCTGTTTTAGGCCAAAACAATATCCATGTGTATATATGTGTAAAGATTTTGGAAAAACTAAAAATTGTATATTCATGGATAAACAGTATTTTCTGACGCAACTTTTCTACTGCACCTTCTGCTGTGCGATGTAATCGCAAGGGTTCATCTTGTTTTGTATTTCTGATAGGAACAAATTTCATGCTTTTACATAACGTACAGACCGCCCTGCCCTTTGCCAATTAATTGATGTTTCTCGGTTGCGATGTGAGGCATAATTCCCCCAGACATTGTAGGTCCTCTCGAAGCTTGTGGTTGCGGCCCTATACGGCAAGTGTGATATTTCTGCATTCAGGCTAGCTGCTGGTTCGGCTTGGCAACTGCCACTGGGCTGACGGCTGCCTGTTGGGTTTTTAGTCCGTGCAACCGCGATGCCTCTCGTCCGGAGTTAATTGCAGTAGACTGTGGGTGCGCCCCGAAATGCGGCCGTCACTAGGCGAAATTCTGTTTATTTCGCAGTCGCGACAACTCGTGCCTTGCCCATGAAGTGGGTTGTTGGCTGACTCGCTTAATTCCTCGTCACTTTCATTTACATTAGTCTACCCACCTAAACCTTGTCGGGTTGTAATCGACGAAACACTATCATAAAAAAAATCGGTGGCGGTGGCAGTGGCGCCACCGCTTCCGCCGCCGCCACCTTCCTATATCGAAGCGATTTGTTTCCCTAATGGAATTTGTTCCTTAAAGACAGCTCTTAAAATAAGGTCACGTACTATTTTCCGAAAAATTGCTTACTTTTGGCGTCATTTTGTGCGAAATATATGCAATTTTTATTTTTTTTAAAACAACTTTTGCTCTCCAGTCTTTGTGAAGGTAGTTCGTAAAAAAGAGATATTTGTGTAATCGTGCGCCGGAAAACGGGAATTTTTTTATCACCAAAAAGGCACCAAATTTTTTCTTTAAATTTTCTCCTCGTGCGAGAACATAAGTGCTGTTGTGGCACCACCGGTTTCTCCTGACACTGATCTTGATCAATCTAGAAACGCCTGCAAGCCTGGGAACATCAATGGACGGTAAAAAACATGGCGCTAGTCTCATTTTCGGATTCTGCCGAACGGCTACTCAGATCGGTAGTTTTCCGTGGTTTTGCTGATCAACAGGCAGATGCCGGAACAGTACCCTAACAAACGTACCACGGACCACTCCCGACCTTTCCTACCTCCTTCTTGTCCTATCTTTACCCCATGCGCGCGCACACACACACACACACACACACACACACACACACACACACACACACACACTAATAGGTACTACACTACCACACATGTGTTTTTTGTGTCTTTTGTTAGTTAATGAATTTACATTGACTCATTAAAACAAATTTTTGTTTTTTGTATCGTCGGTTCATGACAAAATTCACTACTGCAATGGACTCTAGTTTTCGAACTCTGAAAATTACAAGGATCTTCTCTAACGTCTTCGACCTCTCAAAATCGACGGTTGGAAGATCGGACCTAAGGATTACATTTCTTCTCAAAATAAACACTATATTATATATAATTTTATATAAATTCCTTTTTTAATTGTAAAATTCATTGAATAAGTAAACAATTTCATGTAAATTTGTGAGTATTTTTTAGAAAATGAGGGCATTTTCCCCTTATTTTTTTAAAAGTATTTTAGGTAATTTTCCTTTTATTTTGAAGTCTTTTTATAGGATTTTCAAATCATTTTTAGGTCATCAAAATCCGTGTCTTGTTTATAACCATGAAGATGGGTTTAACCTTTTCTATAAAATACTATAATTTTAATAACCGTAACTGTTACTACCACAACGCCAATGTTGTAGCGTCACACGTTTGCTCTTGCTCGCTGCATTATGCTACGTTTTACAAGAATCTATAAAATGAGACTAGTAAATCAGAATTTCAGAGCTGGAAACAAATTTAGGCATTTCAAGTCCTGTAAATTCTAAAGCTAATTCTATATAAGTTATGTACGGACCTCGAGATCCTAATTACGAATGGATAAAATTGTATCTTCATAAATATTATTGGCACAATAAGAAAAAAGTGGCAAAATTTTTAATCGAATGCCCATCTAATCTCGGTGTATCCCCGGAATTCAATATTTGACTCATTCTTTTCTTATTGTACCTTCACGAAATGCTTTCCGCGATTTTTATAACGATAAAACGTACTGTTTGCAGAAGAGACACTACTTTCCTCTCAAAATCGAAACTTTCGAATAAATGCTCTCGAAGCTTTGAAATTAGTTTCGTTAGATTCTGTTAATTAAAATGTAACTATCAATGCTCTTTCCTAGGGAGTGCCTGGATTGGAGTCACCGTGTGTTTATAGGTTCTCACAATATTATAACATGTTCTTGTTGCAGAAAAAGAAAACAAAGGAAAAACGCAGAAAAGGAAAAGAAGAGAAAAAACGCAAAAAACATGGTAGACCGCCTTTGACACTGGAAAACGAAGAAAGAGGTACAGGAGTGTGGCAAGTGGTATGCTTCACAGAAGAAGATTGGGATAAAATTACATTAGGGTTTAAAGACTCTAGATCAAAAGCCGAGAAAGAATTGTATCATACACTTTCTGAAGATTTTCTTCCCGAGATACCACGTTTATTTGCCGAAAAGGAGCGTCTTCAAAGGTAATTTCACGTGACTCACGTGTGATTTTGTATATTAGCGTTGCGTAAGTTAATGGAAATCTGGAAGAAGGGCATGTGATTTTTTTTAAACTCTAGTCTGGAAGGACTTTTTTGTTATAGAGCAAGCATCTTTGTGGTATTTAGTACGATACTATATTACATTCCACCTAATATGTGTAGTATCTAATCGTGTACCTCGTACATGTAAGTATTACGCGATCTGATGGAATGTTGGAAAAAGTTTTGTCAACATCAGTTGTATTTCAGTTTTATAGTACCTTCTGTTGTAACGCAGGGTCAGAGTCTTTTACCGCTGGTATTTATTTTACTACAATCCACCTTTGTGATTTAAACTGCTCTCCTGTGAAATTTAGAAAACCTGACGTAAGCCCTTCTTCCGGTACACATTCAAACATTTCTAGGACGATAAATATTGTTTTTCATGTAGGAAAAGGTTGTTGGAGTATCAACCTCGGCGCCAGTCAAGTAGACTAGAAAAATTAAAACAACAGAAGGAAGAAGAAGAAAGCTTACAGAAATCCATTGAAAAGGAGGAGAAAGAACGGAAAGACCGTCGTAAACAAGAGCAAGAGAAGAAAGACAAGTACGTACACATTTTGACGTTCTTTGTCATAATTGACCTTCAATAAAATTGCAGTTTTTCTCGTATATGTACTGTAGCTCAGGTGGGTTGTAGGGTCTCAACAAATATCAATTGTTCAATTGAGTAGAAAATTATCTTGCAGATCATAAAGAAGGCAGCGGGATAAGATATGCAAATCTGCCCCCAGGGATAAAAAAATGTATGTTGAAAAATCATAATTGTAGTGTTAAAAACAAGTTTTTCGACGGATTTAAATCAATTTACGTCGTACTGTGCACTAATGAAAAAACCTTTTTTGCTTCTAACATAAGTAATTTTTTTAACCACATTACCCCTACGAAAATTGACTGAAATTATCTTTGCCATTTTCTATAAAGATGTTTCGAGGATTTTTCCAGGCATTTATATCCTATTTTGACCCTTACTGTCAAAGGAGAAATAGAAGAAAAAAATACTTTTCTCCTCCATTTTTTAAGAATATCTCATGTTCTGCAGTAGATCATAAAAGTGCTCAATACGAATTGTAGTCCAGTAAATTCTCTACAAAACTCCTTCATTTCTACCTCTTATCTTATAATTTCCATCCGACAAATAAAACAATAATGTAATAGATTATTTATTTTTATAAAATTAGGTTTTTGCTTTATTAATTTGTGTATTTTTTCTGTTTTATGTTTAGTAGAAAAGATAAATATTATTGAAAAAATATAAGAATAATATTATAACCTAAAAACGGATAGTTTCCTCGTAATTACAGGTTGAAATGAATGGAAATTATAAAAAGAACGTTTTATCAAAAACCGCTTCGATTTTTCTTTATTTTTTCCACATGGGACGCTTAAAACAATGGTGTCTCATATGTGCCGATCTCTCTGAAGTTTCGAAAATTGCGTGTAGGAAATATTGGATGGAGACGTGTTGAAGCGTGTGAGCGTCTCGCCTAGAGTAGAGGTAAGGGGCACGGCGGGTTAATTCGGAGGACCGAATTTAGAATTTCTTGGCGGAAAAACAATTGCTGGTTGAAAATCACTTTTGCAAGTTCATGTAGTATAATATAGCATTGCAGTTTCTAACAATGCGAGATAGTATGTGCTGTTGTAGCACCAGTAGTTAATTTTTACTTACTCGCTCTTCATAATAAGCAAAATATTGTAATGCGCTCAATAACGGCGAATTTTCGATAGCAAAACTATCGCCGGGCCCTGGTAACGAAAAAGATAAATCTTGCTCATTTGTCGAATTTGACATATTTTCTTGTTCCGGAAATGCCTTGTCTGTGAAGAGTCGCGAATTGTCAACAAAAAAATTGCAAAATTACAATATTGATGATTGAGATTTTTTCCATAATAAAATCTATTTAAAAAAAATTAAATCTTGAAATAATGTAAATGAAAATCTCTGACTTTTTGAAAATTTCAAATGGAAATGTTTAACTTTTTTAACCATGGGAAAGGTTAAAAGAATAGCTGAGAGTGGTTATGTGAGGGTGACATGATTGGCGTGTGAACTCTAGCGAGTGTGTGTGTTTATTTTTAGTAATTCTGTAGTTGGACAATTTTGATATTATTATTATTATTATTATTATTATTAGTAACCATAAAATGGGAAACTATGACTTACCCATTTGAGATGCTTTCTTTGATTAATTACGTGCGAATAATTCCTGACGACGTTGTTTGAAGTGTAAATCTAACCTGCTTTAATTTCCATGTTCATTGATTAGTAGATTATGAAATTCTTTCTCAGTTTGCTTGCTTCAGTTTCACCAACTTTTTTTTTCAATAGAGAATAATGGCAACTGTGAAAACCTCTCCTGCCATTGTGTGTTTCTGCAGTATGTGGTGTGTATTCGTCGCAACGCAGAGAAAGCGTTCGTCGGCAGCGGTTATTGGAATTGTAGCTATTAATCCAAGGCGTGATAATTTCTTAAATGCAGACGACGACAAACCAGTTGTATTCAGATAAATGATTAATTTAGAAACGCCCATTGGTAATTATTCATTTGTTGAATATGCAACGCAAAGTTCACTTCTGGGCCTGGCAAAATCAAAATGCTGACCGAAATTTTGTTTTAAAGAAAGAAACGCTTCTTCTGGAAACGAATTTTTCATATTTTTTTCTCATCTACAAGTTGTAGGAATGTTAAAGAATCCAGACTGTTGAATCTGATTAGATACATTGTCAAATATTTTACAATATAAACGTCGCTAATGCATATATTGGTCATATCTATACGGCGCTTCTTCCTGGGTTGTCCAGTATCGGTTACACTTTTCCGCTATTCGTCCCTTCCGTACTTTTCCGTACCTTCTATTGATTTCTCTTGTTTTTGAGAAGCTCTTCTGTTTCTTTTACCTTTCCAATACTTAACATCAAGCGACCTGGCTTGGATGATGTCATACAATGAATCTGTCAGATAAAATATTCCTCTAAATGTCAGCATTATGAAATTCAATTCAAAATCAGAAAGCACAGATTCAAAACCCCGAGCCTGATGATACGTGTCTTCATCCCACTGTTCTGGTTTGTCAAGAGTAGTGGAAAACAAATTTACTAAATCATCTCTGTGCTCCCGAATTGTCTCAACTGGTCCCGGATTATAATTCCACCTTGTAGGGCATTTTTGGAAAATATTTTTACTTTTGAATCAAGCGCTTTCATACTTTTGTGTAGTTAGAAAAAAAATAATGAAAAGTTTCCAAGAGTCTTGAAAATATTTTTACACTCTTTGATACCGACTGAGAGAGCGTAAATTATCTATGTGCCAGGTAGTGCACAAATTCTGCATCGGGGTATTTGTCTCTAACTCGTTTCTAAAACCCATTCATTTCACGAGACTTTACTGCAGACCCATCTTAATACTGAGCAACTAGTTTGGAATTGCAGTCGAATTTAGAATTGAGTGTGTGAAAAACCATGTTCTGTTAAGGCACTGGCTGTGCGATTTGAACTGAAGTCAGTAAACCCTAGGAAACGTTCAACGATTTCTCCATTGGGAAGTAAATATCGTACAACAGTCGATAAATGAGAATGGATAGATATATCACTAGTCTCGTCTAGAATTACAGCAACAAATTGTGAAAGTGAAATTTTCTCTTTTATTTCATTTAACATAACAATAGCTATGATTTCTATCAAATCGTTCTGAATAGGTTTTGATAACCCTGTAAAAAATTGGCTTTTTGAAAACTAGTTTCCAAAGTTTCATTATACTTTCTCAACAATGACAGAATTTCGATATAATTCCCTCTGTTAAGACTCATCTTCCGAGTGTCGTCTGAAAGAATGTTCTTGACAAGCCAAGAAAATTACTACGTCAATTAGGCGCCCCGGAAATTAGGTAATTTCCTATTATTTTTTGCTTGCTCATTGTATTTAAGAGTTTCTTGTTTAAGTTGTTGGTCTAACTGAGAATCTATTCGGGCAATGTTGCGAGACAAATTTCAGATCGAATATGATTTTGTGCTTGTTGATGTCGCTGCATGTCTTTCAATAAATTACTCATATCATCAAACCCAGAACTGTTCCAAATACTGTTTTCATTCGAAAATAATACACAAAGCCAACAATATAATTTTAAAACCTTTTTACAACCACTTAACTAGTGTACTTTTTATATTGCTCGATATTAAAATGCCGTACACACCTTTCCGTTTGTATCTGGATATGTGTCAAATCAAGGGTAGGCCGTCCTCGCGAAATAATTTATCATTTGGCTTGATAACTCTTTGAGGAAAATAAACGTTCCTTTAAAGGTTCTAAAATGCAAGCACAGTTGTGGTCTGTCCCCTTCTCGCCTCCCGAGCATGCCACGTTTACTGTACTTGTCCTTGGCTGACGCTTGGAAACGCAGAGAATGGACTTCTCACATACAATTCCCTTTACAAAGCGGCGGGTAGGGCGCACAGCTTTAAGATATACGTACCTACGAATAATCCAATTCTTGGTAGAATTACAAACGCCAAATGTACAAAAAGACACATCACAAAATAAGTTAAACAATTACTTACGAATCTATCAATATTTTTGACCGAATTGTTGAACTAGTCCGCTATTCTTGAAAAAATACTTTCAAAGGGAAATCATTCAAATTATCATTCCCTACGTATGGCGAAAGCGGGCCCCATTAGTTTTGCAAGCTACCGCAAGAGCGCAAATTATCGGCACTATTTTCATAAACTGGAGCAACATAGGAGACAAAGACAAACACATTACAGGAATTAGCAATGGGCGCTTATTTCCTCTTTAGAATAAATGTGTATTATATGAGTGTGTGGAAAAATATAAAAATGTTTTATTTATAATTCAAAAGTTAAACGGAATGACTCATTCCATTGACTGACCGCCCTTCCCTAGCAGTTACAAATAATGTGAGAAAGTATATGCTGTTTCAGAACCACTAGTTTCATTTTACGCAAGAAGTATATTGTTTGCTTGTTTTCTTTCTTGTGAATTTTAAGGTGAATTCTAGCGTGTTGTGTCTTGCATTCACTGAAGAAAATTCTTCATTGTGGTCGTCATAGCGAATTTTACTAAAATATAGCATCAAGAGGCTTTAAATTCCTGATGCGAAAAATGAGGTCTAACCTTTTCTGAACTCACGGGACAAGGGAACGGGAAAGGAAACTACTTCAGAAATTTAGTCCACCTTCTGAATCTGTTTTCGTTCCTACTTATACGTGTAACCTTGCTGGTAAAACATAGTGGAATTCTGAATCTGCTTTCGTTTTTAGCGTGGTATTCTTCCATCCTATTTTTTTCTGCAGCAAAAGAGTAAGAAATCTAGAGTTATTGTATTTCGTCTGTGATTTTTTTCAGGTTCAGCTTTTGGCAGATGACCAACTTGCTTTTGTTTTATTTTGCGAGCAGACCTGTAACTTTCATTTGTTGCAGCTACATTAGAACCTCGTTAATCCGGACGTCCGCACACCTCGGTCCAGCTTTGAAAAAAAATGTGTTTAGTGTAGTAAACGAAGATGTTCTATGGACGATAAATCGCT